TGTCAGATGACTGTTTATTTCCATTTAGTAGATAGAAAAATGCAAGTCAAAAAGCCAAAGTATAATGGGACAGGAGAAGAGTGGCAGGGAGGTGGGGACAGGGATAAGCAGAGAGGGAGGATCAGTTGCCCTGGTAACAACTCCAAAGGATGGGATGCAGAGGCTTCGTGGTCCTACTACCTTCTCCACGTCCCTTTCTAACTCAAGCCCCTTCTATGCCATCCTGTTCTCCCCTAGTTAGGTAATTAAACTCAATTCAGTGGGCATTTATCGCCCACACCCTGATTAGGTGGCATGTGGGATACAAGGCTGAAGATGATGAGGGTGACAAGGATGATGACTGGAGACTAGGGGGCCACTGTCCCCTCCCATGCAGCAGGCCTGGGGGAGCCCTTCACAAACATGACCCTCTGTGTCCTGGACCACCATGGCATCTGGAGCCTGGGTTTAAATCTAGGCCCACTTCAGGTGAATTATTTAACTTATCCGGGTTTTATTTCCTCATTTGTAAAATGCGTATAGTAATTGTACCAACCTGTAATAGGCAGGTCCAGGTGAGAAGGCAGAACCACATGAAGTGTATCTCAACAAAAGGAATTTAATATAAAGAACTGGTTTCATAGGTGCTAGAGGGCTCAATGAGAAGCAATGGAACACTAAGGCCACCACCATAGGTGGTGACCAGAAGAAGCAGGTACCATGTCTAAGGCTGGAGGAAGGAAGGGAAGAGAGAGGCTGGGACCATGAGAAGCTGGACATGTGCAGGAAGAGACCCACTGCTAAGGCTGTGGGGGCCTGGGGGGCCTGGTTCCAGGGCTTGGAAGGGCGCTGGAGGCTGGGACCAAAGGCTAACGCTGGGTGAAGGGCTGTTGCTGGTGTGTGGGGAGGATATTGCAAGGAAGCAAAAGCAAGCAAGTGGAAAGGAGGAAATCTCCCCTCTCTAGCCCTTGATCTTCCTCTAGTGCCCCCTATTGGCAGAAATCTGACAACGGAAATCTGGGGCCAGAGGAGTTCTAGTTTGTACTGTCCAAGATCTAGCCATAAGCCAGAGTACAGAAAGGCAGATCTGGAGGTGAGAGAAATATCTTAGTAATCAGCTCAATATTTCATAGAAAAAGTATGAGGTTAAATGAGTTAGTATTCATAAAGTGCTTAGAACAGTGGCTGATATATGGTAAATACATTATAATGTATTTTATATAAAGGAATGAATGAAGAAATAGATAAATAAATAAATCCACCAAAAACCAACGTGGGCAGTAATGTCAGGATCCATTTTTGTCCATGAGGATGATGAGGTTTAATGAGTTCACATTAAATGCTCAAGGTCACACAACCTAGTCCCTGGTGGAGTTCAGACCGTCTGAATCCAAAGCTGTTTACCTCTATGAGCCCCTTGGAGGCTCAGAGAAGATAGATTAATTATTAATAAATAAATAACTTCACAGAGAGACAGGTTTAAAACGTGCAATAGGAAAGGTACAAATAGCAGAGTTTGGGGAGCTTGAGAGAGGGAGGGTAAGCTGCTGGCTGGGGAATGTGGAACTGAAAATTAATGGATTTTTAATTCACCTTCTTTTAAAAATCCACATGTAAAGGCATTAAAATCTGCTTTCAGAAGACACGTGATCTTGTTTCAAGATAGCTGACAGCTAAAAATCTGACTTGAAGTTATTCTGGTGCCCTTTTAACAATGCACCGGATTTGGTTTTAATTAATTCCACTCCTTGGAAGATTATATGAAAATTTGATTCATATAATGTATTTAATTCAACAAACTGAACACATTCTCAGTGCCAGGCACTGGAGATCCAAAGAATTATAAATGGTAGTTCCAGTCCTTAAGACACTCACAATCTAGTAGCGTAATAGGTAGATATTTAAATCTCTGTAATCAAAATGGAAAAGCAAAGGTACTAAGTGCACCTGGAATATGGAACCTTTGGCTGGGGAGAGATGGAGTGGAATTTCTTCCCTGCCACCCCAAGAAGCAATGTTGCAACCATGGCAGAAGCCAGTAATTGGGATGTGAAGGGAGAGAGCCAAGATAAATTATGGCGACCCATTAGTTTTATCTAGTGCTGGACCAGATCACAACGCTGGCTGGCTAACGAAGTCAGAGTTATATGGAGTTGGAAGAAGTTCTGGAATGTTTCCACAGTTGTGGACCTGGTCTCTGAAATCCTATGTTCAGCTCTAAAAGTTAGGAAGTTGCTGTGAAAGCAGAAATGGAAACCACATATGCCAGTAATAATAGTTTCTGAGTACCCACTACATGCCAAGCACTTTAATATAAAATGAGTATTAGACTTAGACTTCTAGTTACCAGTCCCTAGGAGCCATTTTCCCCTCCTTCCTTTTAGTAACAGACTCCTGCATTGAGCTTTAGTAGAGCACATACGTGTCTTTCTCACTAGGAACTATATTTTCCAGCCTTCCTGGTAGCTTGATGTGACTGTGTGACTTAGTTTTCACCAACAAAATGTGAGTAGAGGTGTAATGTGTACAAATTCTATGTCATTCCCCTAAACGAGAGTTGGTTTCCCTCCATTCCTTCTTTCCCCCTTTCCACAGGCTGTAAAACTGATGTGGTTTTCATGCTTCTGCGTGGAGGTTGGCAACACCTAGAGAAGAGCCCAACAGCAAGAAAAAACCTGGGTCCTTGAGAAACTCTGCAGAGCTGAGAAGTCACCTCTTCTTGCTACCACCTTCTGCCTTTAGCGCCTTTCCTTTCCTGTGGCCAAAGAACAAATACACACAGAAGAAAAACAATATTGTTAGAGTTATGTCTGGGTTAGAAGAACATATAGGCCACAAGTGAGGACATATGAGAGACTCTTACATGTGAACTGTATAAGCTTTAGTGCATTGATGCTAAAAAAGTATATTGGCTTGTTTGGAAATCTTTGTTGTTTACATCCTTATTCCTAGGTGAGTTTGAAATGATTGATATTACCTATAAAATGTTTTCCAGGTGAGGGAAAGTTCACTGAATTGAGCAAGGGCAAACTCACTCAACAGTTTTTTTTTATTATTTGCTATATGCTAGGTACCAAAGATGGAAAGACACACACACGACACAATCTCTTTCCTCAAGATGTTTGTAGACTGGTGGGAAGACATACACATATAAAAACACTGTTGGAAGGAATGAGTTAATACTGTTCGCTTCAGACAGTAAAAAGTCTGACTTAGACTGGTTTAAGAAAAAGAATTTCATTTATAGGCTTATGTATACATGTTCCAAGAGTAAACCTGACTTTAGGCCTTTACACCCTACTGAATGAGAATATCCATGGATGGGGCTGGAAATCTGTATTTTTGCCCCATTTCTATCTCCTCACAAGGTAAATCTGATTCTGTTTTAGAAAGCACTATTTTGTGTAGCTCATTCAAATTGCCAATTGGAGAGTAGACAAGAGAAGGGAGAGACTGAAGGGGAAGAAAATCATTCCTGAGGACATGAGGGGACCCTGAACCCAGGTAGAGGCAGCCCTGGGCACATTGTGCCCCAGGAAGTCTGTTTGGCACTTACAATAGAGCTAACATGCTTGTGGGGTGAGCTTTGAAGGGGAGTCAGCAGAGGGCTGTGCCCTCTGTCTGGCAGTCAGTCTAAGGATTTATAATACAATCCTTATGACAGTAGCTGTCACTTCCCTTCATTCACCTAACAACTATTTAGTGTGCAACTGCATACCAGGCCCTGAGCTAGGCAGTGGCGCTACACAGGTTTACAGGCAAAGAGCCTGTCCTCATGATGCTTACGTTCCAGGGGAAACAGTAATAAACAATCAGAAAAACAAGGACTACTGACTAAATTCTAGAAAAGGAAACCCCCTTCACTATATAGTCCCTAGTGTAGGCTGATATTGAATGGAAAGGCCTTGGAGTTAACAACCTGGTGGAGACTTGAGAGATGGGAACGAGGTAGCTGTTTGGAAAGCTGGAGTATGAGCATTCCAAGGAAAGGCAATAGCAACTGTGGGAGGGAACTGAGTGGGGTGGAGAAACTGAGGCGCAAGTAGGGCTGGAGATCAGTGAGAAGGGGGCAGTGGAGTAGGACACGCTTGAGGAGCTGGCAGAAGTCAGGCTTTGAGAGAAACTGTAGGTCCCAAAAAGTATTTGAATTTTACTCCACACACAGTGAAATGTTTGCTTTAAAAGACATCTCCTAACAACTGTGTAGAGAAAATATAAAATTAAGTTCCAGGCTAGAAGGACCCCAAGATCCCTGCCTGGCCCCAATAATCCATGGCAGGCTCCATGGGGTCCCCAGGAGCCCTCTTAATAACTGTGGGCTGTATATCAACGGTGTCCAGTAGAACTTTCTGTGAAGATATAAATGTTTTGTATAAGCGACTCTTGAACCCTCAAAATGTGGCCAGTGTGACTGAGGAACTGGATTTTAAATTTTATTCTATTTTAATTAAGTTATGAAAATGTGTATAGCCACACATGGCCAATCGCTGTCGAACTGGACAGCACCAAGCAACACAGAGCACTGGATACCTGAGGATTTCTACTCGGATTCCCGAAGCCAGGGCCTTCCCCAAGCATTGGCAGAGTGAGAGGGTATGTTGCTCCCTGACGCTGACCTAACCCCCCTGAGCACTCAGTCTCCGCAGGACGGAGCGTGTCAGAGGGGCATTCTGAGCTTCACCTTACCACTGGGGACAGCCACGTGCACGCGGCTGCGCGGCGCCCCACGCGCGCCCTCGGGGGCAGCCCGGCACGGAGCGCAGAGGTTTCGGGGCTGCTCCCTCAGGACGCAGCAGCCCGCGAGCCCGCGGCGGCGGGCGCGGTGCAGCCATTGGCGGGAGAGGCCCCACACACCGCAGCGCCTCGCCCCGCCTGCTCTGCAGCGGACCGCATCGACGTCGGCTCCGGGGCCGCGCAGGTGGGCCGGGGAAGGAGGGGACGGAAGCAAGCGGGATTGAGGGTGCGGGGTCCCCTCGCGGCGCTGTCACCTCTTCTTCGCGGGGATGGGGGTGGGGATGGCGAGGGCTGCCCCCCGCACCGGATCTGCTTCCTGGGCTTTCTTTCGCTTTGCCTGGCGCTCGGCGAGGCCTGGCGCACCGCGAGCAGAGGGCTGAGCAGGTGGCCGCGGAGGAGGGGCGGGGACAGGAGCCTTTAACCCTTCGGGACACCGGGCCGTCTCCTCCCTGAGGACGCGTTGCCCCCAGCCCCGGCTCGGGCCCGTGCCCTGCTGCGCGAGTGGGTTCTGGCTGGCTGGAAGGTGCCCCTGACCTTGCTGTCTCCCCGGTGCCAGGTCTGCGCAAGGACCATGGGCGCCGCGCTGGGCTCAGGCCCGCGGCTGGCTCTACTCCCAGGCCGGGCCTGCGGCGCCCTCCCGCGCTGGGCACCCTCCGCGCCCGCCCGAGCCTGCCACTCCAAGCCCGGCCCCGCGCACCCGGTGCCCCTGAAGAAACGCGGATACGATGTCACCAGGAACCCGCATCTCAACAAGGTAACGGTCTGGTGTGGACGCTAGGATGGCCGGAGTTGCGATCCTGTGGCGGGCGGCCAAGTGTGCCCCGCCCCCCAGAGCCGGGGGAGGATCCTCCCTGTTGCCCTTCCAGCGGTTTTCTGTTTTTGCTTTCCAGGGGCCATCCGCACTCTGCCCCCTCTGCACGGAGAGGGGTGACCAGTAACGCAGGGAGCCTAATTTCTTCTGTAATAACAGTATAGGCCAGGTTACGGTCCTCATGGTCAGTCTGAACGGGGGTCAAATCTCCCCTAGATGCTTATTGATTCTGTTGATCTTGAGTAGTTCATTTAACCTCTGCCAGTCCAACTTTCCTTATCGGTGAGAGAGATACACTTGTCTTCGGAATGCTGTGAGAATTAAAAAGAAAGTGGAGGTGGAGTTCTTAACACGGTACCTAGTGAAAAAATAAATGTCAGCTAAGGTTATGATTATTATTCTGGGAAAAGGATTAATTTTAGAGCAGGGACAGGAAGGTCTAGGATTATAGAACTTTGAGCTTTAAGGAGCATCAGAGATCCTAGTTCAAACCTCTCCTTTTACAAAAAACAAGACAAAGGAAACTTGCCCAAGGTCACCAGCTTGTGAGTTCGCGCTCTGCCACTGGAATCCAGAGCTGCAATGCTTTGGTCAAGTTCAGCCCACTGCTAGCCTCTGTGTGTTATCCTAAGAGCACACACATTTGTTTCTGGGAATAGAATTAACTATTTTGGTTCAGAGGATTGGATGAGAGATAGAAACAAGAGAACTAGATTTGAGGCCTGTCTTCTCCCATGTCCTCAAATTAACTTGGACATCTCATTTAACTTTTCTGAGTCTTGACTTTCTCCAGCCTAAAACGGATATTATGATAGACCCACCCTTCCTACATCATTTGGTTATTGTGAGAATCAAGAATCACCAAATTTGAAATCATATGCTAAAGTGCTGAATAAATAACGATTACTGCAAAATAAAGATTTTAATAATTGCTTTGACTTAGGATTGTGAAATTCAAGTGAGGGGATCTGTGTGGAAAAGGTGTTTTTGAGAAGTAGGGACAATTAATAGTAAATATTGTGATTATTTCCTACAGAATTAATAGAAGCAGCTATGGAAACAATATCTTCCTCTCAACCTCCATCTGTCACACTCACCTCCTGCTCTTCCCAAGAGACCTTAAAGTCTTTGCACACTACCCCTTTCCAAAGCACTTAAGACTTTTGTATCAGTTTGAATTAATTTGTTAGTAAATGTTAGAATATGAAAATTGGCTAAAGCAAACAAAGGACTCCTTTAACTAAAAAAATCCAGAAGAAGGGTTGCAGGCAAGGCTTGACCCAGAAGTCCAGATGACATTCCTAAAGGTGCAGATTCTCTCTGGCTCTCTGCTTTGCCTCTGCAATATCAGCTTCATCTTCAAGCTTCATCCAGTGGAGTCCTTCACCTCAATATTGCCACAGTCTCCATCTACTGTTCTCACACCACACCACCCAAGAGTAGAGAAATACTTTCCTCTGATAGCTCCTGTGGAACAGAAAGGACACTTTCCCTGAAGCTTCAGAAAGTGAATCCTTCTGTCTCATTGACTCTGATTGGATTTCCTTCCCATTCCCAAAGCAATCACCTGTAAGTTAAGCCAGCCAGAGCCTGTGGCTGGAGTTAAAGACAGGGTTTAAGGTAGGGCCACCCACACCAACTGGCTTAGAATAAAGGGGATGTGGTTTCTCCACAGTAAATCTGGATACTGTCATCAGAGAGAGGAGGGATTGATGGTGAAAAGCAAAACAATGAATTCCCACTACAGGCTCCAATCATTTTGAAAATAATTGCCTTAGAAGAACTGGCATATTGCCAATCAGCACTTACTGCTTTGTGAATAGTTAAGGAAATAAAGGAAGATCTTAAAAGCCTTTTTTTTTAACCCTAGGTTTGGTCCCCTGAAAGCACTCTTGCTTTTGCCCTTTGTCCCTGATTAAAGTTTTTTCCTCCCAAGTAATATAAATGGGATGTTATCCATACATCTAGAGGACCTGACTTTTTCATAGTGTTGAACATTTTTGTACATCCCTGAGGTCAGTTGATGCTGGTCTGCAGTGAGGAGGGTATCTGGAGGGACACTGACAGAGCCTGTTGACATGCCCTAGTCACTGAGCCCTGGGGACAGAGGGGAAGCAATGGAGGGAGCAGGCTGCCTGGGGGTGCCGTGGGTGCCTTTCTCCTCCCACTGGAGTGCCGCCCAGTGCTGTCCTGCTGACCTCCAGGCCTTAGAGAGTCTCCAGGCTTGAGGCTTGATGAATTCAATCAACCAGACGGGAGGATTGTGGTGAGGTTACACAGAACAATGAGGTGATCACTGAGGAAACAAAAGGGAAAGGCAGCTTCAAAAGGCTCTTCGGTGATGCACTTAGTGAGCAGATCTGTGAGTGGACTGTTTTCTGCTAGAATGAGAGCTCTTCCAGGCCAGGGACTGAGTTTCGGGCACCTGTGGTTGGCATGCGGTAGTTCCTGAAGGATCTAGTGAGGGCATGAACACAAAAATTAACATTAAGTTCTTGGAATGTGTTCAGTAGATTTGCATCCCACTTTTGACAGATCAGGAGGAGCATTTAAGTGGAAGCTGGAGGGCAGAGGTTGATCAGGAGGTAGAATTCTCTGAGAGAAGAAGAGCTACTGAACAGGGCAAGCATGGCTGCTATTGTGCAATCACTGGGTGCCAGTCCCAGCTCCGCCATGCGCTGGCGGTGTGCTCTGTGGTGAATCTCGTAAGCTCCTCTGCCCCTGTTATGCCACTGCTGGGAGGACCACAGGACATAGCCCCAGGCGTGAATATTAGGCAATCGCATGGATGATTCTCAGAATTGGGGTTGGAAGGGTCCTTAGAGATGATTTAGATTTGAATTGTTCTGATTATAGGTCACAAACTATGGGACATGAAATTAACTTAGTGGATCTACCACTATTTTTTTTTTTTAAGAAATGGGGATTAGAATAGAATAGAAAAATAGCAAATACATTAAAATTGACAAAGATAGATATTTTTCCAGATCATCGTGTAAAATGCCTAATTTCACTGTGGATTATAGTAACAAAAAAAATTTTGAAAATCATTGTTTTCATCTACCATCCCTCATTTTCAGAAGAAAAGATGAGCCAAGAAACCAAGCAGCTCCACAGAGATTAATTGAATTTCACAATCCTGAGTCATTAAATAGGCAACTATCAGCCCATTGGTTGTAGAAGTAGGTGGAGTGGGTAGAGGCAGTCTGCCTCCTGAATTTCAGTCCTCTGTATAGCAATGACAATGCACATCTGCTTTGACTGATTTTGGCGTATTGCTGATGATAACAGAATTGGTACTAGACAATTCCAAGCTCCCTGTGGGAGTCTAGATTTTCTAAATGATGGAAATTCACCAACACATCAACTTCTATTTCTTTTTATAAAACTAATAGTCTGCCTTTCTTCTAAAATTTATGTAATGACCTTTTCCATTGCCCACATTGATTGTGACAACTGGGTAAATCTTCAATGACAGCAGCTGTGTTTTACTTACATTAAATAAGCAACTATCAGCCCATGTCACAGGGCTGCCTTCATAGGCAGATGTCACCCCCATTCTGTAAGTATAGCAACATGTTGATGGATCTTATAACAGACCCACCATTCCTACCTCCTTTGGCTATTGTGACAACCAAATGCATCACCAAATTAGGAATCATGTTTTAAACTAAAGTGTCGAACAAATAACAATTACTGCAAAATAAAAATTGTAATAATTGACTCAGGCTTGTGAAATTCAAGTGAGGCAATCTGTGTGGAAACTTCCCAAACCAGATTTGAGTCCCCTCCCATTTGTGTTATCACTCTGTTTCCTTCTGGTGCTAAGCATGCTATTATAATGGCTGGTTGGTTTGTCATCCGCAATAGACCCTGAGCAGCTTGAGGGTGATCTTGTCACATGGCATTCTTTCTGTCTGACTCGAGATGATCAATAAATATTTGCTCTTTAAATTATTTCAACCATGTCATGGTCCTTTTCCTTTCAATTTTATTAATCTTAATGTTACTACTTCACAGCCCAGTGTTCTTGTTGTCTAGTTAAATGCTTATGTCCATTTTGGAGGAAATACATCTGCTTGACCCTCATCTTCCCAGACTTTAGGGCATTTCACCGAAGGGGTGTGTTATTTTCCAAAGTGCACTGGCCTTCCCCCTTTAACTCACATGCCAGCAGTGATTTTTGCCATAACATTGCACTGATCCTTCATCTGCTTCTCTGCAATTTTGTGATTTCTTGAGCTTGATGTTCACAGAAAGAATGAATGAATAGAGTGCTTAGTCAAGAGTGCTTAGTCCACTGTGACTGTGGACCAGCACATTTCATGCAGTGGGGCCTCAGACACTGCAGGGCATAGATGATAGCTTTCCCATGTAGACTTGATTAATGAACCTGTAAAGGCTGGGTGGCCAGCGCTGCAGTGTTGGCTGCATATCTGAAGCTGCGTTTCAGCTGAATCCTTTCTGTATTCAGTGGTGATTTATTAGACTCCCGCACAGTTAGGATCTGCCTTTGAATACAGTATATGTTTTTGTTTGGTGCCAGCTTAGAACTTGATCTTGTCTCCTTTGGGTGAGGGGAGTCTGTTGTCACAGACTTGGCTTATTAATCAATCACAAGATGATGGCTGGGTTGTATGGAGAATTAGGAGCTTATTGGTGATGCTGTTTTCTGCTCCAAAGGCAGATTCTATACTATGTCTTCCTGAGACCTCTGCTTCAGATATGATGTAGAATTGGGCCTCCTGATTGAAAGAGAAGCCACGGATTAGTAAGTAAACATTAGTTCCATAAGCAGCAATTTACTCCAGATTTGAGCCTCTTATGCAGTGAGTGACTCAGGGCACTGAAGCTCAAATACTGTTTAGATATTTTGGGAACAAATGAGCAGAGGCATGTTGGAATTAAATCTGTCCTTGTTAAATACTCTCCCAGCTCATGAG